CATATCATTAAGCGTTTTATCACAAACTTCGTCTTTAGAAACCAGACTGATGACCACTAATATTCATGACTTTCGAATCTGATAAATTTAATAACTTATAGACTTTTTGCAAGTATGTGATGGATACAAAGGGGTAAAAAATCACGAGATTTCTAATTCGGATAACCACGAAAAATATTATTTTATCAGATTTTACCGTATTTCAATGAAGAAACATGTTTTACTTTAATTGAACCTGATATATTCTCAATTTTACAATGTTTCCTCCTGAGATTTGGGCAATATTCGATTTGACCTTCTTCTCCCTAAATACCTCATGTAATTAATGGACGCCCTAAAGAATAAATGTGTTTATTACTCATTTTCTTTTCACAAATATAGGATCTCTACCTTGGTTTTGATGTCCAATCATAACGTTGTTGCATGCGTAATACTGTTAACAATAAAGCAGTATCAGTACCTACAAGAAGTTTTGACAAAGTCTAGACGTTGTATAACACTTAGAACAAAAGTGTCCATGAGCCCAAAGTTTTTCCACAAGTAGTCCAATTTAGGCAAACCGTACCCTATGAGAGCATATTATGAGCTGGAGAGTAATACTCGTATGTATTAGTTGTTTGATATTTATTTACGTTCGTGTCATCACAAAACACTCAAAAATTCTTTATGCGTTGCCCATGTATGAATTGATTTTAAACACATCTGATGGATCCTTAAAAGATTCAAATCGGACAAGTATATTTTTTATACCGAAGCTGCGCAGGCATAAGCCTAAATGCCAGGACACCGCGGCTACTATGAGGATCCCAAAGAAATTGTATTAATCCGATTTTTGAACTGCCTAAGGTCAGTAGAACCGGGAAAATATTCCTCTTGTAGATTGTTCCATAATCTCGACACCCTCGGGACAAAGGAGCGACCGTAACGGCCAGTTCTTAATTTACGAAATTAGACACGGTTAGGATGGGAAGGTAAAGTCAGGCAGGTCTGTCTGGCAGGCACATCGCGCGGTGGCATCATGGAGGAGAGCTCTGAGGAGCAAAGCTTATTGGTGTAGCGGTAGAAGAGAGCTAGATCGCCGACGACATTTTAAAGTTCCACTATTTATTAGTTGTTTTCGGATACCTATAGTCAGGTCTGTTTATGTAACGAAATTAGGGGAAAACGTTTCCACTCTATCTGTTTAAGTGCTCGAGATCCCAGTTAGCATACTTTTGTTTTTTAAACAAAATATATGTCTTAAAACTCAATGAAACGCAAAAGTATTTAGGTCGATAAAAATATGCGATAAAAAATATCAATATCTATAAAAAACAACTTTGATATCCAGCTCAGTAGTGGGACGCCCTTATAATTCTAAACATTTTTTAAATCTACTCCCACAGAGACTATGATGCAGGATAATCCTTAACAATTTTTGAAAAGTTATGTCGCGGAACAGTGCTCCCTCCATACAAGTTTGGACCATCCTGAGCATATGACAGAATTGCAATGTTGGTGAACCGGCTAGCAGGGATGATAATACCGCTCCCATAATACGCAGTAATGGGGTACGGACTGCTCAGCCTGGACACTTTCGTTCTACGTATTCAGATCTAAAATATATTAATTTTGTAGTTTTTGCAGTTTAACCCATATAGAGCGATCGTAATGTATGAATACGTTTTTTATTTAGTATATACTGGAGTAAGAGTTTGTAGTTTAGTAATGTACGAGTAAGAGCTGTATAATTTTGCTTATCATCTAGTCATATTTGTGAATAAAATGAATATTAAAGTTAATGTAAGTTCTAAATAAACTGTTAGACCCAGCAAAAACTTCTTCATTTTTCTATATTCTTCCATTCTAAGTGTAAGAGCCACGACTTCCTAAAACTTTTTTCAATCGCATCGGTTTCACACTCGGGATGCGGCTGCTGCGAAAGAGGTAAATCGCATGCTGCGACCATCCCACAACACAAGTAAATTGACTGACTTCGGCGGCAAAGATGCAGGTATGCCATAGGCGTGCGGCGTATATTTTACTTTAGGTTGACGGAAATTTAAATAGCGGCATCAAGGATATTAGACTCATTGCATTTGCTTTTTTATATCAAGTAAACTTTGTGCCAAGTGATTCGACTTGCTTTGATCGAATTCTTTTAAACCATAGTCATATGGCTTTAGATCTGGAAACAAACCGAACAGGAAGCAGCGGTGGCCGCAGTAGTAGACTCTTCGGTCTCCTGATCAGTCGCCGTGCGCTGTGCGGGTTCGAATCCCGTCCCAGGACAAATTTTTCTCTTGCTATGAATGTTGTGATTGTCCGTAGGTGGTAGACGGTCTCTGACTGTCGAACGTGGAGGTACCACCCGGCGGATCTCGTAGGCGGAGCCAGAATGTGTGCATGTTGCATGCACACGTGTTCCCTCGCCAGAGTCCGTGTGGCGTTCCCCCTTTCCCCTGTATCCCCCTATAGCCCCCAATGGGTGTTTAGGCCTTATGCCTTCGTGGTAGTTGGAATATAAAAAAAAGAACATAATCTAATTGATGACGTGGGGAAGTACAGAGTCAACCTACTTGACGGCATTTTTTACTATAAGAGTCCCGACGCTCACATGTGGTCACACGATGCTGGCTACTGGAGACTAGCCACGGGTGCCTAAATACCACATGCCTTTTTGATAGGTTTGATGTGAACATACCTTAACCAGCCCTTACTGCTGCGGCGACGGCGCCTGTTGCCCTCCAAGCAGCGTTGACAGATTTACAAATAGCCTGGAAACCTGTTGTATATCTTTTTGAGAATAAGAATGTAAAAAATACGTATTAAGCATAATAAATGTATATAGAGGATAAATTATTGTCGTAACCATTTTTAACCGAAGTCTGGTTTTATTGGTGCAAGTTGTTCAATGGGGGTATTTATAATATGGACGCATAAAATGGGTACACCAATGTTTGTGGGAAAACTTTTTATTTGACAACAAAGAATGAAAAAACGTGTTTTTTGGAATTCAATCGAAAGTGTTGACAGGAACGAAAATTTTTTTTAGGTATTTCTGAGACCTACAAAATGAGACCACACGTAAAAAGATCCGACTAATACTCGTAGCAAAATGTTATGTGCGAAGAACGAGGCAAAATGCAAGTTTTGGCACTTGTTGGTAATTCGACGATAATTTCATGTAACTACTTGACATTCAAATCCGTAGGATTCATACTTCTAAATAACAACAACAAAATTGGATTATATTGGTCAAGTAGTTTTTTGAGAATTTCTAATTGTTTATCCCAAAACACCTGTATTCCGGCCATCACTACTAGTTTATTGAGCAATATACAGGGTTCGTTCAAAGAGCATTTAATAGCAAAATACACGTGTTTACCTTTCCAATATGAATCAGAAACCATTCCGAAAGATAAATGCCATTTTTATGCGAAAAATAAAGGTTACGTTCTCTTCTTCCACACAAATTGAAACATTTCGTATTTGTGAGTAATTGAACAAATGCGCTACGATATTCGAAAAACATACTTGTACGTTACTATACACATTTTAAAACAAAGCGGATGTGTCTATCATCTTTTGTTGCGAATTACTCACAAATACGAAATTTTCAATTTGTTCAGAAGAAAAAACGTAACCCATCCTTTTTTGCATAAAAATAACATTTATCTTCCGGAATGGTTTGCGATTCATATCGGCAAGGTAAACTAGTCCATTTTGCTATAAAATGCCCTTTGAACTAACCCTGTATATTGCTCAATAAGCTAGTAGTGATGGCTGGAAAACAGGGGTTTTGGGACAATCAATTAGAAATTCTCAAAAACTACTTGACCCATCTATTCCAATTTTGTGGTGGTTATTTAGAAGTAGGAATCCTACGAAATTGAAGAATTTCAAATATCTGCGAGAAACCATCGTCGCATTACCAACAAATGCCGAAAGCTGGAGTTTGCGTCGGTTTTCGGTCATAACTTTTTTGCTGTTAGTCGGATCTTTTCACGTGTGGTCTCATTTTGTAGGTCTCATAAATACCTAAATATATTATATGAAGAGTTTTTTCGTTCCTATCAACACTTTCGATTGAATAACAAAAACACGTTTTCTCATTTTTTGTGAGTTGTGTGTTGTCGAATAAAAAGTTTTCCCACAAAAATTGGTGAGCCCATTTTATGCGTGCATGTTTTGAACAACTTGCAGCAAATAAAACCGGACTTTACAATGATTTCGAAAACCAGGGGTATTTTCGTCTAATATGTTTAGACTATACTTAATTACTTCATATTTATCAGTATTGATCTATTAATGAGCATGTAGTATCTATAATTATGAAGCTTTAAGCACTTTGAAATTGAAAAAGTTATTCGGGGCAAACAAAGAAAGTATGCCAATAATAATTTGACTTTGAATATTATATATATATACATATATATATATAATAATTATTACGTTGCATACTTCGACTCCATTTAATACTGAATATTATTTATAACAATTTTTGAAAATTACTTCTTTTGCGTGTTTGGAGTGAGCTGTAATGCGTTTGGAAGGCGAGGATTATTACATAACCCAGCATTTTACTTAAAAAAATCCAACGCGGCACCATCCCCCATCTTTAAATTTTCAAATGTTTTTAGGCTTAGATAAAGTTTTCGTTTATCGATTCCAACATCCAGAATATCAACTTCTGCTAAATTCAAGGAATAAATAGGTGTCATTCAAGAGAGGCACTATATATCATTCACAATAATCGTTCCCAGGTATACCTATATCTAATCAAAGTAGAAAAAAGAAAAATATGCAAAAATCGATGTATTCGACATTTTACTTTGGATAAAGATTCATAGGCCGATGGAGACTTTTGATTTATATTATTTATAATAATTATTTTGAGATCTGTACCAACTAACAGTTTTATGTGAAAACACGCCTCATGCAAACGCACCCCCATCAATCCGGCAACGTCGCCTCACACCCTCTCCTCCAGCATCCCTATCGTCATCTCCCGTCAAATCCTCGAAAACCGACAGCTACGATCGCGGCCAGCTGTGACATCGCAGCAGCGGAGGCGGTCAACCATCATGGCCAACTAAGACACCACCATCGCGATTATATTCTACTCGCGGAAAAGGAACCTCCTGTAGGATAATACCGAAGCGGTGTGAAAGCTGGGAAGTGGGAAAGAGTTTCCCGCAAGGGCGTCGAGGAGGCTCGTCCTGATATCGATCGACATACACTGGTGAATTCCTTTAGGTAAGGCGATTATTTCAATTGTTTAAATATTCATATCCTTTTCCTTGTAAGTGTAGTGATGACTTGAGGAAATTCTATTTGAAAAATATTGAGCGAGAATGTCTAATAGTGGGAGACTCGAATTAGTGCATTTGAATATTTATTTTTGAAAACGGGAACGAAATTGAAATCTGTTTCCTGTTGATAAATGAAGCTAAAAATAATTATCAGAAGTAGTTTTATAGGTAACTGCAAATAAATCTAAAGGTTATCTTCTGTATAATCTTATACACCGCACTTAAATGAGATAGAGGGTGATGAAGTGTTAGTAAGAATCCCTAATTTACTATAGAGGAATGGAACCAAATTTGAGATAGTTTTTTTTGAAACGGAAAAATAAAGTACTTGTTGTTTTAAACGAGCATATATCTCTAAATAAACTTGCGATATGATGCTCCTAGCATACTCTAAAATAAAAAAATAATATTAAATGTATTTTTTACAGACAAAAAGTATATTTTAAAAAAAAGTAAATATTTTTGTGAAATTATAGCTGGTTTCCTAATTTGAGATACTATTCAAAAAATCCCTTTCTTTTGCAGAAAGTGCAAATGAAAATTTTATTGGTAATCTCTTCACAATTTTTATGTGACCATTTACTACTATGGCTATATTTTGCCCATTTTTCACCCTTATCTTCGGAAAATCGACCCGTACAAAATAAACATTCAGCATCGCCTTAATTTTGCTTTCGTCTGAAGATGAATCATCCAACTTAAGGCTTCCCCTGCATTCTGAACTTGAACTGGACGGGGAAGGTATCTATCCCAATCCTTTTGAGGCTTTTAAATAATCCGTGCCAGATTTTGTCCAAGTGAACGGAGATTGACTCGTAGCCGTGCGATTATCGTCACCTCCACCATCAGTGTCAGCTCCAGCTCTACCATTACCGTCACCACCATCTCCAGAGTTCCCGTCACCCTCAGAATCCCCGCCATCACCAGAATCTTCCTCAGACGAAGTATTGTGGATTTTTCGGCTAGGCTTAGGAGAGTTTGAATAATCGGGATCGTCAGTATCTTCTTCAAAATCGTCATCGGAATACTCCGCCAAATTTTGTTGAGCTGCGTTACGCGACCGCGTAGACCGCCGACGTAATGAACCTCGCAAGCCAGGTTCACTGCTATCATTCAGTGCTTGTGTAGGAATAAAATCTTCTGCGTCAGAATCACCATCCAGCTCCGAATCCTGAGCTTCATCATCTGTGATTTCTTCTAGAAATCTGGCTATTTCAGAATCGCTTAGACGTCTTCTTGACATAATTACTGTCCTTAAAAACGAAAATAAATGAGTGATAGTGAAAATAAAATTATAAATAACGATAACAAGCTAAATTTGAAAGTAGAAGTCGCACTTCTGAAAATTTAAAGAAAACCATGAATTGTTAGGTTATAATGCCACATTTCACAGAGTATAACATCTGTGTGCACACACAACATTCGATTACAATGGCAAATTATCATAAGTTAGACCCTTAGACAATCTGTAGCTATATGCGATTAGAATAAGCACCTTGCAAGAAATAATTTGTCATTTTCGCAGGTTAGCCGAAGGGCAATGACGCAATCAGCAAAAGCTTATATATGCTATCCTTTCCAAAAATCAACACAAAATAAAACAGCAACAGACGCAGCAATACTACTATATTAAGATACATACCTTTATTCTGGCTTAGAGCACTTCAATCTAACTTCAAACGGAAACAATAACAGCCTGACAGATGTGCTGACAGGTCACTGCTGTGTATGAGGTTTCCTACGCACACTGGGATATTATCGTCCCACTTTAGCACCGCTCTGAGGACAGCATCTTGTCGGAACTACCAAGGGGCGAATTGGGAAGCCAGATTGCGGACAAGAAGTGGGGACGCGCACAATTCAAATCATATAATAAGTGGGGAGATACTGTCCCACTGTACTTTAAGAGATCCGGTGGGAAAAATAGTACCCCAAAGGGCGTTAAAGGGTTAAATAGTCCAGGAATCTTGGGTAGGCAAAAAATTGAAAACGTGGGAAAATTTTTAACACGCTCTTTATAATTTCTCATCACTAATGGCTTGTGATAAATCAGCTATAGTACCAGTTTAATTTTCAATCGAAAGTGTTGACAGAAACGAAAAAACTTTTCATATACAATTTTTATGTATTTATGAGACCTCTATAAAACGAGACCACACGTAAAAAGATCAGACTAATATCAAAAATGTTATGGCCGAAAAATGAGGCAAAATGAAGGTTCGGGCACTTGACATGAACCAGAAAGCACACAAATCAAAACATAAACTTACGTAGACTTTTAAGATCACTTATTTTACGTTGAGCTTAAAACTTATAGCATAGATATAGGTTGTTGAATTCAGAATATCATTTAATATCACCACTTACTCTTCACAGAAAGTGAGGAAAAAGATAATTAGAAGCCACCAGAAGAGAATAACAGCCAAACAAACAACATGAACCGTTTCGGCCAGATAAGACTGCCTCCGCTGTCCGCAGCTGCGAATGTGGCTAGTCAGCTGAAAAGGCAAATATTGCCGGAAAAGCAAGGACACCCGCCAGGAGAAAGAGTGCATTTTGCACAGGTAAGCAAATTCTGTTTCTTGTATATGAGTAGAGGAAATTGCAGGAAACCGCACGCCTCCTCTAAAGTGGACCCCTGATCTAGTTGGCTCTGCATTGTCTGAAATCCCATTAATACCACGTGTAAATATTAGCTTAGGTATCTACTACTCATTATTTGTACATCATCACGTCTTTTGAAACTGAAAAAAGTGTTTGCGCAGTGTTGGAATTTTTATTATTATTCCTACATCTTTGCCAGTAAGCCGTTATCCATAGAGATTATCTGAAATGGCAAGACCCTAGGTACACCTTTCTCATTAAGTTGCTAGATGACTGATTGAAAGAAGTTTCTGTACGATCAGAATCTATATCAGTTGCCTAAACCTACTGCATATTATCCTCTATTCTTTTGAAATCCATTTTCATGTTCGGAAAGGATAATGGGAAAAACTAATAAGAGGAAATGGGGTCCTTCTAGAATGGCTAAAGCTATGGATGCTTTTTAGAATGAGGATATAGGATGTATGGAAGCAGATAGCAGAATTGCACGCTTGAGATTTTTGTCGCTAAAGAATTAAAAATTCTAGGTTTTTCTCTATTTATTCCGTATCCCTGCCTAAGAATAAAATATTCATTAATGATGGACAATTTTTACTAGGGGTGAGGTTTTGGCATCTAATATTTAAATCAAGGGCATGAAAGGTTTTAAGAAAATGTTTTCAATAATAATATGAATTTTAAGTACAATTTATGAACTTGTAAAATAATGATGCTTGGCATAACAAAGAAAACGTTCTATCCTTTTAAAACTATTATCCATATCTTTTTAAATCAATAAAGTCCGCTTTTAGGTACTTTGCTTAAATCAATTGGTTTCTCTACTCCCGTAAGATTTATCCGAGGCGCTTTTTTCAAAAGGTGGGGAAATAGTTTGTGAATATTTTACGTGGAAATCAAATATTCCAAACAATTACACTACAGTGGTAAATAATTGAAAAAGGACCTGATATTGCAAGTTAAGCAAATCGTGCAAGGATTACTCGTAATCTGTTAGGTTTGTGACGTGTTTGTTATATTGAAACAGTACGCAACCCCTGATTTTTCCATATAACCCCCACCATCAGAGAAAAAGAAATAAATAAAAAACTATTTTTGAAAAATCCATGGACCAGCTTTCCAAAGACGGGTTTCGCAGGACCTTTTTAATGCCCAAGTAATGTGAAGAAGCTGTTTATTTCCATTTCTACACGATGGGATATGCCTAGCTTGACCATACCTTTTCAGCTCCCAAATCAAGGCAATACAGCTTCAAGCCATGGCAGTATGGAGGAGCACCATGAGATGTCGAACATGACACCAAGCACCAACCCTTTCTTGGCCGGTGGATTTGCAGATGGAGACTGTCCCAAGGAGCAAGACAGTGGTTTCAACGGTGGCAATGGGGGGTTTAATCGACAGCAGAGCAGATTGTCTTCGGTTGACATCTCCGAAGGATCAGAATTCGTTGAGGGAAAGAGCGATGTCAAGATCAACGAATATCAGGCCGCTTGGAATGTGACCAATGCCATACAGGTCAGTCGACTGTTTAGTAAATAATGACACTAGTTGCAAAATTTTGCTGACAGTATAAGCACATAAAATAAACTTGTATGTGTAAAAACCGTAAATTATTTGGTAAAAAAGCTAGTAATTTTCATTTGAACAGATTGCTTTTTTGTATAATTATTTAGAACAGCAAGTTGAATTTTATTTACTTTGGTAAGTGTGGCAATACTGTCTTCTTCTTGCTGAAAATAACGTTGCAACTTTTTCACGCAGTCTAATGCCTCCTTAGTGGTCACTGGAAGCTCTTCTTCATCGTTGTTTTCTAGTTTGTCTTCCTGTTCGTTATCAATGGATCCTTCGTTAACCAAATTGGAGTCTGACAATTCCTGTGTTGCTATTAAATTATTTTCAACATTTACATACTCATTAAATTTGTCTATATTCAGTAAACTATTAATTTGCAGTAAATCACTTAATGGAATTTCATCTTCTGGATTAAAATCGTTGACTATTTCAGTTATGTTTTTCACTAAACCAGCATGACGAAAACAATTACGAATGAAGCTCCATAATTTTCATCAACATATGTTTTCGATACATTTGTTTAAGACTCCAAATGACACCCTGGTCCATTGGTTGCAGAACTGATGTCACATTGGGTGGAAAAAATTGAAGGTTGATGTTATTAAGTGAAATATTTGGATGAGCGGGGAAGTTATCAACCAAGAGCAAAATTTTACGATTTTTCTCAACAAGTTCAGCGTCCCACTTTTTTAAATATTCTTCAAAAATTGATAAGTCATCCTAGCTTTATTATTTCCAACATAATCGACGGGAATTGTTTTAACATTTATGAAACACCTGGGATTCTTAGATTTCCCTGAAATAAAAAAAAGGTCATAAATTATTTGCAGCACTGCCACTGAATATCAAAAAAATTAGGACATGAATTTATATTCATTCACTTACCTATTATCAATAGTTCCCGTTTTATTCGCTCTTTTGATAGTTTCCTTTTAATTTATGAGTTTTATCTGGTAGCATTCTATAAACTATCCCGGTTTCATCTGCATTGAATATGATATCATCTGAATAATCACTGGATATTACAGGCCAAACTTGAGAAATCCGGTCATTGGTAACGTTTTTGTCAACTGAAGCTGATTCACCACACATTGTTCCAGAAACAGTGTTATGTCTTTTCTTAAACCTGTCTAGCTAACCGGAACTACATTTGAAGTAATCTCCAATCAACTTCCCAAATTCTTCAGCCTTTATTTGTAGCATATAGGTCCACTTATTGGAAAATTGTTAGCACGCTTTTGTTGAAACCATTGAAACAGCATATCATCGACTTGGGGATGCAGCAATAGCAGCATTTTTTTCTTTTGACTATTTGATTTCCAGTCAGTTTTAATTTTGTCACGGTTATTCCAAATATTTGACACAGTGGATTTTTTGATAGCCATACGAGCACATATATTTGCTTGAGATGAACCCTGCTCAAGCTCACTAATTATTGTGAACTTTTCGTGTGAAGTGAATGCACGTTTCGCACTTTTCGACATGTTTATAACTCTAATAAATACTGGTGGCCAAATTCGGATGCAAACTGCGAAGGCAAACCGCCATAAACGATTGCATCAGCTAAACCTCCTTCGGAGAACTACCAAAATAGCTCGCATATAATAGATTAAAATAGTCCGGTTAAGCGAGTCTATAATATCCGAGAATTTTACTTGCAATTATTTATAGGAACTTAAATTGTGTCCATTATACACGGATTTCCATTATAAGCAAGTTCATTATACGTGGATTCCACTGTAGTTTGAAAGTGTACATAAAATTCTCATTTTTGTGCACGTTTACGCAGATGGTCGCAAATGCCAAAAGGAAAGCAATCAGAACTTTGTGGAAATATAGAAATTTTTTAGCAGGACTAAAAGACAAAACGTTAGAGTTTCTGAAAATTTTACCAGAAGCTCTTTGCCTTTGTACAGGGTATTTTGCTCAAGTATTTTGTAGTATATAGCTATTATCTAGTGATTTATTACATACGTCTACATATACGGATAATTTTTTATTCCTGATTTCAGGGAATGTTCATAGTTTCTTTACCCTTTGCTGTCCTTAGAGGAGGTTATTGGGCAATTGCAGCAATGATTGGCATTGCCTACATCTGTTGTTACACTGGTAAATGTCTAGTCGATTGTCTTTATGAATTCGATGTTCAAACAGGAAAACAAGTAAGTATTCATTTTGGCTTTATTTTATTATTAACTTCGCAGGTCTTTTAAAACCGCCCTACATTCCATTTAAAAGCCCAAAGATCAATCTGACCGATGTTATCACCTAAAATGAAATTGTTAAACTTGAAACAAAAAGATTACAAATTATAGAAATATAAATTTATATGGCATTTAATGTTGTTATAGTTCAATCAAACTCAGGAGTAACCAGTCAAACCGTGAAGTAACCGATGATTTTGATCGAAATCTGAAATACTCCCTCTACTCGTTTTCAGCTCTGACAGTCAGAGTCTGACTTCGTAACGTTTTGTCAACAGGGCTCCAGACATTTTTGTTATGTAATCTTATCCATTAGCTAATATTCAGATCACAGACCACAGAGTAAGTTTCTGCTTGACGAAAATCAAACAATAAATTTTGTATAGATGTTATTTGGCTGAGTACAATTTAGATTTCATACCACGTTAATTATGTTTTATTTGAGCAATATCGAACTTTGACCAGGTAGGTGTATCACTCTTGAATTTGGCTAAAAGATATGCAGTCAAAGACTGGAACTAAAAATTATTTATATACAGGTATAACTTTAACCAGAACCGTCCCGGATAGCTTTGAATATTGATTAAATATTTTCAAAACATATTTGTTAAATGTTTGTAGCGTTAGATTTCTCATATGTATATTCATAAAATATCCATTATAGATATTTGTAGTATATACAGGGTGTTCCTTAATGATATGCGAATATTTAAGGATGTGAATCTACATTTAAAATTAATGTTAGTTTGCTTTATAGACTATGGTCCAAAAATGTTTCCTTACAAAAACTCGGGGTGGTGAAGTTTTAGGAAAAAATGGGAATTAATTAATATTTTCAGAACCGCTTCAGATATTTCACTGATATTTAGTACGTAGTGAAAGATAATAGAGTTGCATATTTTTCAATGCAAAAATAATGTTTTGCTTTAACAGTGTCGTGCATACAGGTATTGACTTCGATATTTTTTAGGAAAAAAATGATACGCTAGTGGTTTTTTGCCAAATACAAATTATTTTTGAATTCCTCGTTCAATTTAAAACAAATGATCTCTAATTGTTTTCTTTCGTTGCGCTATTTTTGAATAAAAAAATAAAAACCGTTCTACTGTCCCAGAAAATTAATGTAATAATTGAAGAATGCAATTTAGCAATAAATATCTAGTTGCTCTGGAATATGTCACTGGCCTTTGACATCTGACAAGTCTCTGTTATTCAAATCTGTTCGCTGTGACATCTTTTTTATTATTTAGTTTTTACAATCTTATTAATAATGGTGAATTATTCAAATGCAGAAATGGCGGAAATGCATTACGTATATGGCCTTGCTGACGGTAATGGTGAGCAAGCCAGACGGATTTATCACCAGAGATATCCTTATCGTGCTTTGCCAGATAGTCGAACCTTTTCTAATATTCATCGTCGTCTTGTTGAAACTGATTCTGTCCGAAAAGGAACATCTGAAGGTAGACCTCAAATAATAATAATAATAATAATAATAATAATAATAATAATAATGTTTATTGGAGTATTAATGGAGTATTAATAAATAATATAACACCAAAAAAAAAGTGTGAGAACACCTGAAATTGAGGAAGCAGTGCTGCACGAAGTCGAAGAACATCCTGAAACGAGTACGAGGAAGATCGCTAGATACTTAAATATTAGCCATCAAATTGTTTGGAGAATTTTAGTGGATTTTTTGTTATATTTTACACGCATTACTTCCCATTCATTTTCCAAGGCATGTGAAATTTTTTCAGTGGTATCTTCAAAAAATTACACAAAATCTGCAATTTGAATCAATGATTCTGTTCACGGACGAAGCTAATTTTTCTCGAAATGCCATTCAGAATTTCCACAATAATCATTTGTGGGCAGAAGAAAATTCCTATTCCGTACGAAACAATATGTGGTACATGCATGATGGTGCACCAGCGCATTTCAGTATAGCCGTTCGTAATTATTTACAAACTGTTTATCCAAATCGTTGGATTGGCCGCGGTGGGCCCCAAGAATGGCCACCAAGGTCCCCGGATATCAACAGTTTAGAGTTCTTTTTGTGGGGCTATCTTAAGACACTAGTATACACAAGTCCCATTAACACTATAGAGGAATTAAGAGAAAGAATAGTTGCAGCTTGTGATAGAATAAAAAACACTCCAGGGATATTTCAACGAGTGCGCAATTCCATGAGATGAAGGGCGGAAGCATGCATACTACGTGAAGGGGGCCATTTTCAACAATTTTTGTAATCATTTTGTTGGTTTTAATGTTATGTTTATGTTGTCAGTTGTTGTTGTTCATTACCCCTAATGTTTAATTTTTCCAATTAAATTAATAATAATTTTGCAAGTTAGACGGTTTTTATTTTTTTACTCAAAAATGGCGCATCGAAGGAAAACAATTCAAGAGAAATCATTTGTGTAAAATTAAAGGAGGAATTCAAAAATAATTTTTATTTGGCAAAAAACTAATGGTGTACCATTTTTTCTCAAAAAATATCTAAGTCAATACCCGTAGGCACGCCACTGTTAAAGCCAAAAATTATTATTGCATTGAAAGATATGCAACTTCTTTAACTTTCACTACGTACTAAATGTCAGTGAAATGTCTGAAGCGGTTCTGAAAATATTAATTAATTTCCATTTTTTTCCTAAAACTTCAACACCCTGAGTTTTTGTAAGGAAACATTTTTGGACCATAGTTTATAAAGCAAACTAACATTAATTTTTCATGTAAATTCACACCTTTAAATATTCGCATATCATTAGGGAACACCCTGTATAATTCATATATTTTTGTGATATTTTTCGTAATTATGTATGGATTTTCAAACATTAATCTGATACATATTTTCAGTGTATATACAGGGTGGGCTATAAGAGTGTTGGCGATTTAAATCTTAAATTTTCGAAAACGCGGGACGCGGGTTGGGGAGGGATAAGCTGTTAACCGCGCCGTTGCTTGGAAATTTAGTCGCCATGGAGCCATACATGGGAGCGCAGCGTGCTTTTTATGTCCGAGCAGCGTATTATGAAAACAATAAAGCGGTTATTACTGCACCACGTTTGTATCGACATAAACACGGTTTACGCGATTTAAGAGAAGTTCCAAGCGCCAATATGATACGGAAACGCATCAGAATGTTCGAAACTACCGGCTTGACAGTAGCAATAACAGCTCGTGGTCGTCCAGTTTCTGCAAGATCAGCCGACAATGTAAAGCGTGTTCGTGTTTCAGTTCAGCGAAATCCGCAACAGTCAACACGTAAGAGAAGAGAGGCTTTGAACATCAAAAGAACGAACTTGCGACGAATTTTGCAGCGTGATTTACATTTGAAGGCTTATAAGATTCAACTAGTCATGATGCCAATACTCGTAACCGACTTAACTTTGTCAATTTGATGCTCGACCGATTCAACAGTTTTAACAACGTGATGTTTAGTGATGAGGCCAATTTCCAGCTCAATGGCCATGTTAACAAACAAAATTGTCGGTTCTGCTCTGAAACTAATCCCCGACGCTTGCATGAACGTCCACTTTTTCGCCCTAAACTAGTCGTGTGGGCTGGAATTACGTCAACCAGTATTATTGGACAGTACTTTTTTGAGGTCGAAAGAGGGCAAGCGGTGACAGTTAAAGCTAACAATTTATGCGATATGATAACAGACTTTTTGGTGCCAGCTTTCCAAGAGCTCCAAGGCAATCTCTCTAGAATGTGGTTTCAACAAGATGGGGCCACATGTCATACAGCTAGCAGCTAGGGTATCTATAGAGCTACTGAAAAATGTCTTTCCCGGAAAACTCATATCGAATGGCCACCACGTAGCCCCGATCTTTCTCCATGCGATTATTTCCTATGGGGCTACCTCAAATCGGTGGTCTACGAGAATAATCCAACTATACTAAGTGACATATAAATCCGAACACCCAGTTTAAATGGTTTTATTTTAATAAAAGTTGGTGAATGTATTTGTCTTACTGTAAATAACAAGTGAAAAAATTGTCAGCCTTATCAGTTGGATATTCCGGTTTTTATACTGTTTTTTTTTTAATTCACTAAAGCTCTAAAATTGAATATTTCAGCCGCAGTAAAGAATCAACGTTGGCGGATTTTGGTTCTTGACATCCTTTACGATCGGTTACGATGCCTAGAGTACGGAGACCTGTACGATTTCGTCAACTTAGTGAGTTTGATAGGGGCCGTATAGTGGGACTTCGGGAAGCTGGACTTTCTTTTCGGGCAATTGCAGTTAGAGTGCAAAGAAGTGTAGACACTGTGGTTAGGTGTTGTCAGGCATGGCTTCGAGAAGGCCGTACGCAAAGAGCAAGGGGCACTGGACGCCGCCGTAGAACAACAGACCGTGAAGATCGCCGCTTAAGATTATTGGCCTTAAGGGACCGTTTCTCCACTACCAGGTCCATTGCAAATGAATGGTTTGCAGAACACGGAAGACCTATTGGCATGCGAAGTGTTTACCGACGAATGAGAAGTTTTGGCTTGTTTTCATACCGGCCACACTGGGTCCTCCCTTTAACTCGAGAACACCGACGTAATCTCCTTGAGTGGAGCAGACAACGGTCACTCTGGGATCAGGAATGTAATAGTATTGTCTTTAGTGACGAGTCTCGATTTTGTTTAGGCATGCACGATGGTCGTGCCAAGGTTAGAAGGCGACGTAGTGAAAGGAGGAATCCACAATTTTTTGTTGATAGACATGTTCATCACACTGTTGGAGTTATGGTTTGGAGTGCTATAGCTTATGGTTCCAGGTCACCTTTAATCTTCATCAGAGGTAACATGAACGCGCAGCGTTATATCCACGAAGTTCTAGAACCCCATCTTTTACCCTATCTTGACACCCTGGCAGATTTAACTTTCCAACAAGATAATGCCCGATCACATGTTGCAAGAGTCACAATAGACTTCTTTCAAAATAATGATGTCGCATTGTTACCATGGCCACCAAGATCTCCCGACTTATCCCCAATTGAGCACGTGTGGGATATGATGGGTAGGAGATTTCTCAATTTGCAACGTCCTCCTCAGACTCTAGAAGCACTTCGAGAGGAGTTGGTGGTTGCCTGGAATGAGATACCACAGGAGGACATTGACCACCTGATCAGAAGCATACCTAGGCGCGTTGGAGAATGCGTAGCACATCAGGGTGCATCCACACATTATTAAAGGTCAAAGGGCTTTAAAGCAGTGCAATGATTTTGAAATTTTTATCACTTACTTATTATGCTTCATTAAGTACTTATACAAAATTTTATTAAAATAAAACCATTTAAACTGGGTGTTCGGATTTATATGTCACTTAGTATAATTTAGAGCAGTTGAAGAGGAATATTGTTCAGGAAAGTAACAAAATACCGAGAACAACTTTTCAACGAGTTTTCCAAAAATTTGCAGCTTCGGTTTCAAGAGTGCCAAGCAGCCGAAGAAAGTCATTTGAACAACATTATTTTTAAGTCTTAAAAATTCCTATCTTTCTACTTTTTAAAAATACATTTATTTTTCTTTTATATTGCGTAGTTATTTTTTAATTGAATATTGAAATTGCCCACACCTTTATGGCCCAACCCTGTAGAAAATTCTTCGATGGTTATTTTAGCAAATTCTGTAGGAATGCTTCTATAAAATTGGGTTTATAAATGAAATTCATTCTAGATAAATATAATGGTTTAATTTGCTAGAAAAATATCATTAAAAAAAACATTCTAAGCCTCTTCTGCAACTTGCAAATTCTCTGAAAAGAAAACAAACTTACTAATTATGAAGTATTATTGAATACATAAGCTGCTTTCCAGTGGTCTTTTGTTTGAGAGAGATCCTCTCCCAAACTACTATAGAAAGTGTATTTATGGGAATATAAAATGCAGTGGAAAAATATTGGTACTTACTCAGAGTAGCTCAAATGGGTCACTGAAAAGCAGCTCTATAATGCACCTAAAAGGATCCCACATTTTCTTCCTATGCGAGTTCGAGATTTGGTTAATTTTTAAGAAAATTTGGTGTGTTATTTGAGATATCTTGATGAAAAATGTCCATAGGCACAACTTGATATTTTTAAAAATAGAGCACTTATTGATTTTGTTGAATTGTGACTTTTTGGAGTAGTAAGGGGGCTAATTTAGCCAAAAATATAGTATTTTAGACTGAATTTTTGGAACGTCGCTTTTGAACTTTATTGATTTGCCTCCTACTGCGACAAAAATAATAATAATAATGATAATTGAGATATTTAAAAAAAGCATTTTTAATGTATCTCGATCAAGTTGCGATTATATGACGTTTCGTTGTGATGTTATGAATATAGTTTACGTATCCATTTTCAGTTAAATCCACCAATCTCAAATCTCAAATAACTTCAAGGCTTGTTATTTATGGTCCTGTAAATACCTTTATACTCAACTGGCACAATAATGTTTACTAGTCAGATAAATTAAGCTATGTAATCATCGTAAAACTTACCCTTTTCCACAAAAAAACACTCAAATAATGTACCACTTGGTGGTACACAGGAAGCACGCTATCATAGTGAAATTCACAGGCAAAATGGATGCCGGCAAACGGGTTGGCTCAGGTCGGCTTACCATTATAACCAAGATAACAAATATTTAAGTAAGATAAAAATATTTTATATTTAATAAATATTTAATGAATATTTCGTGCTATTGGGGGTAGGTCACCCGCGATTTGACTAGCGACTACTAAGTTTAACTAAATTTAATATTTTAACTAGAACATAATGTGTATTTTGTATTTTGGTACGATATTATCAAAATTTTCAGGTGAGAGTACGTGACTCGTACGTAGGTATAGCAAAAGAGTGTTTCGGAAAGAAATACGGAGGCCGTGTGGTGAACGTTGCTCAAATCATTGAGCTGTTGATGACATGTATCCTGTATGTTGTCGTATGCGGTGACCTAATGTATGGCTCTTTTCCTGATGGTTCTATTGATGCCAGGGGATGGATGATGCTTTTTGGGATTTTCTTATTGCCGCTTGGTAAGTATAAAAATCATTACGAAGTTGCAGGAGATTGAAATATCAAGACTGTGCGTTTCTTGTCATAGATATACTACTATGTGTGTATACAAGAGGAGTAGTTGGTATAACTTGGGCTTCTGTCTAATCAGTCTTATCAAATGATGTTCAGGAGATGCTTCGAGGAGAATCCATTTTTTTTTGTTTTTAGAAGATGACACCGACAGCACGCAATTCATCTTTTTTTGAACCGATGCTATAATAGCACAACAAACTTGTGGAAACTTTTAGTGAAATTTTCTCTGGTAGAATATATACGGGTCATTATTTTAAAAAGGAGATATCTGTACACCGAAAAGTGCTGCTAAAAAACTTGCACCAATTTTTACTTTTTTTTTTATTTTGAACTGATGGAAAGTAGGAAAGTAATTAATGTAGTGGTTCTGAATTATTACTATTTCTTTGAAAATAAGCACGGCTTTCAGAAATGGAGGTGGGCAGATGTGTTACGGAGTTGAGAAATGTGCATTAAATTGTGTGTCTTCTTGATAGTAGACTGCAGAGAGGTAGTCGAAAAATAGTAGACGATTTTTCCTAAAACAGTACTTTTAGAAAGCAGACGATTCAGTTTTAAATGTAGATTTTAATTAATTAGAGTGTTTGTGCGAAAGGGTAGTTTTATTCAGATAGTACAAAGTTTAAAAAATAATGTTTAGCCTCGTAACATATTTATTTTTATTAACGAAACGCAAAAACTAAAAAGACAAAAGAGCTGCATACGTCAGCGTAAGTTCACCACCTCGGGACTGACATTAAAAAATGTTGGTCCCTTCTAACCTTTTTTAGTTTTTTAAAAGATATCGTTTCCGTTTTCCCGAGCATATTCGGCTTGATTCATCAAATTCATAAAAATGTATGATTTTTCTTCGAGCTTCTGTCTATATACGATCAAAAAGTCTGTTTTCTTCGGATATATGAGACGCTTAGGTACTAGAATTTCAAGACCTTCTTGAAAACGGTATTGTTTTAACATTTTTAAAACACCTGGGATTCTTAAATATCCCTGAAATAAAAAAAGCTCATAAATTCTTTGCAGCACTTCCATTGAATATCAAAAAAATTAGAACATGAATTTCTATTCATTCACTTACCTATTATCAGTAGTTTCCGTTTTTCAGTACCAGAAGGCATTAGCACAAATCATAACAGTTATTTGCTCTTTTGATAGTTTCCCTCCATTGCAAGTTTCATCTTTTAATTTATGAGTTTTATCTGATAGCTTTCTATAAAATATTCCGGTTTCAACTGCATTGAATATGTTATCATCTGAAGAATCACTGGATATTACTGGCCAAACTTGAGAAATCCGGTCATTGGTAACGTTCTTGTCAACTGAAGCTGACTCAAAAACAATGTTATGTCTTTTCTTAAACCTGTCTAGCCAACCGGAACTACATTTGAAGTAATCTCCAGTCAATTTCCCAAACTCTTCAGCCTTTATTTGTAGCATAGGTCCACTTATTAGAAAATTATTAGCACGCTTTTGTTGAAACCATTTAAACAATATATCATCGTCTTGGGGATGCAGCGACAGCCGCATTTTTTCTTTTGACTATTTGATTTCCAGTTATTTTTAATTTTGTCACGGTTTTTCCTAATATTTGACACAGTGGATTTTTATATAGTCATACGAGCACATACATTTGCTTGAGATGAACCCTGCTCAAGCTCACTAATTATTGTGAACTTTTCGTGTAAAGTGAATACACGTTTTGCGCTTTTCGTCATGTTTATAACTCTAATAAGTACAGTATAACACTGGTAGCCAAGTTCGAATGCGAAGCCAAACCGCCGTAAACGATTGCATCAGCTAAATCTGCTTCGGATGGATTAAAATAGTCCGCTATAAGCGAGGGGCTATTTTAGGCGAGTCTATAATATCCGAGGATTTTACATGCAATTATTTATAGGACCTTAAATTGTGTCCATTATATACGGTTTCCATTATAAGCAAGTTCATTATAAGTGGATTCCACTGTATTTTGATAAACGCAGAACACCTACTACCTTCAGCCGACAAGCATGAACTGATCTCGTGCATGATACTATGACTGAGAAGATAAACCCACGCGCATGCGATCAGGTTATCTCTCTCGCACACGTGACGTCACTCGGAGACCCAAATCCCCTGGGAAGTTCAGTTTTATATGGCACTTTAGCTTGTTTAATGTTTATGCTTTGTTTAATTAGTTTGTGATCTGCTGGTGTGGCTAAAATTTTATGAAAAACAGTTAATCTAACATTGAACTATGGTGTACTGTGCAGTGGTGGGTTGTAAAAACAACAACAAAAAGAAAAGCAGATACTTTTCAACCTGCAGTTTCTTCCGCTTTCCTAAACACAAACAAGTTCGCAAAGAATGGGTTCTGAAGTGTTATCAGCAACACACATTCAATACTGAAACTGCAAGAATTTGTTCGAACCATTTTGTGGAAAGCGATTATCGTCTAAAGGAGAAACTGTTGGGTTTACCTGAAAATAAATGGAAGTTGAAAAGCGATGCAATACCCTCTGTTCATTTGATCAAATCACCAAAGGCTGAGACTCCTCGCACTAGGAGAATAAGACAAAGGTTGAATAGGGAGCTTGTACAATCAATCGATCAACAACTAGAGGTAGAAATGGCAGAAGTACAAAGTGAAAGTGAGGGAGACAAAGAGAACATTCCTGAGAAAAATAGAACTGTATCCACTCAAACAAGGTAAAAAATGAATAAATTATATAATAAATAATATAATCATGAGAATATATATACAATCATCTAAATATCTATTTTATTTTAGTAAATGTGATGTTGATCAACACATCACAAGTCTTGAAGTTGAAATTGCAAAATTGAAGCAGTTACTTCAAAGAGAAATGGAAGAAAAGGAAAAAATTTCAAAAGTTTTCACTGAAGGGCAACTTCGTAAGCTGAAATCAACCAAGGAAATCCAGTGGAGTGTTGGAGATGTAGCTTCAGCTATTTCCTTATATGCAGGTGGTCCCAGGTCATACCGCTTACTCAGAAAAAGGGGTTATCCTCTTCCTGCAGTATCCACTTTGAGAAGATGGGCTAGTAAAATTAATATTGAACCAGGTATTTAGATAGATAGATAGGTATAGATTTGTATTGGTCATTTGTCTAGGTATACTTGAAAACATACTTTGTTAACAATTGTGCAACTATGATTGCTTCCATGAAGAGTAAAACCATCAGCGTTGCTTTTTACAAATTATAGATATTTGAATATGTAATTTGATGAAAACATTCTAGGATCTGCATCAGTGTGAGTGTTCTTCAGAGCTTTCTCATCCCATGTTTAATGTCATTTTTTAGTCATTCAGCATTGTTGATTGTTTATTAATTTTTATGATTAATATTATGCATGTAACTAAGATTGAATAACATATAACTACTTCAATTGTTTCAGGTATACTTAACACAGTACTGACACTGATAAAAGACACAGCTCTGCCAATGATGGAAAAAGCATGTGTCCTACTCTTTGATGAAATGAAAATTCAAAGCTGTTATGAATATGATAAGAAGAGTGACAGAACCTTAGGACCCAGTAAATATGTGCAAGTTGTCATGGCTCGTGGAATATGTGGAAGGTGGAAGCAGCCCATATTTTATGATTATGACAGGAAAATAACGAAGGATCTTTTGTTTAAAATCATTTCCAAATTAGAAAATCTGGGATACCCAGTTTATGCAATTAATTCCGATTTAGGAGGTAGTAACAGGGGACTATGGAAATCCTTGAATATAACAGAAGAAAGAACATGGTTCACAAATCCTGTAAGCCAAAAAAGAGTACATATGTTTGCAGATGCACCACACATGATTAAACTATTGCGAAATCACTTTCTTGATGATGGTTTTATTATGAATGGAAAGATTATAACCTCTAAACCAATTGTAGATTTACTCCAAAATACACAAAATTTAGACTTAAATATTGCACATAAAATCAATACCGATTTCTTAACAGTTAAGGGTCCTCAACGACAAAAAGTTAAATTTGCAACCAAATTGTTTTCACACACAGTATCAAAAGCAATTTCAAGGCTGGGATCATTAGGTATTTTCAAAAGTGAAAACAATTGGGTTGAATGTTCAGAATTAATAAAGATCACCAATGACTGGTTTGACGTATTCAATTCGAGAATACCTCAGAGTGATTCAAGGGAACGTGTAAAGGCATATGGGTTGGCTTTAGATGAGCAAAATCAAATTTTAGAGTCAATGGAAAAAACAATGCAAAATCTGAGAAAAGTCGGCTCTAACACGTTGTTGCCGTTTCAACGAGGTATTATAATCAGCATACAGTCTTTGAAGCAGCTTTTTTATGACATGAAAGAGGATTTCGGTATAAAATATCTATTAACTTATAATTTGAATCAGGATCCCTTAGAAGGTTTTTTTTCACAAATTAGAGCAATTGGAGGCTTATATGATCACCCCACTGTTCAAATATAGACTCCGCAATTACATCATGGGACGAAATGACGACATTATTTCCAAATCAGCAAATATTGCTACCATAGGGGACGTGCCAAATATTGCAATCGCTAGTGTAAGTAGTATTTCGGACCTTAATGTGTATGAGAATGATGTCGATGACTTTGAAATTGTTACTGGACAAATGTTTGAAGTTTTAAATGTACCAAATTGTGATGAACCTGTACAAAAAGATTCCGATCCAGAGGATACAATCATTGACCATCTCCAAGAATTAGAATGGGATGGTTTAGAAAATTTGGCTGGTTATATAGCATATAGGTTAAGGAAAAAAGAAAATTTAGGTGTTATTCCAGATGACGGTGAATCATCATTTTCATGGGTTAACCACCTCTCTGAGGGTGGTTTATTCAAACCAAATGCCGATTTTATGGTCAAATGTAATGAACTTGACCATATTTTCGGCACTTTTAATGGGGAAACATTGAAATTAACCAAAAATTATCTGAAATCT